TCCAGAGTGTTGTTCAGCATGGGGGGGGAGTAGAAAATGAAGGCTAATCATGTTTTGGGTGTACTATTCCTTTAAAACTACAATAACTCACCTCTGCATCTGGGTCCTCAAAAACAACAACATATTTCTATTGCTTTTTATTTAATTTCATTTAAGTAGCTGTAACCCATGACCACTAACATCACCTAAAAATAAATACTTTCAGTATTTATACTTTCTGGAATTAATCTATATGAGTTTAACTTTTGTAACCAACCTTCTAAAATAAACTAGCTTATTCGTTGCATTCCATAATTTGAACAACTATTTCTAACATTTGTGCAAGTGAATGAATCCGAACATGTTAGTTGCGTAAACTGCATTCATGCCGTAAGGTAAAAGACTTGGCCTACTGATGTGTTTAGCTAATCGCAAGAGGTGCGTTTTACACTTCCATACCTTCCGGCAGAGGCTGGATCTGTGACAGCATGCACCATGTCTGTCGACAGCGCATCAAGAACACTCGTCAAGAACTCTGTTTTCTTTGCCCCAGGACAACCTGCAAAAATCCAGCACAGAGACAAGAGTTTGTAGGAGCATGTGTTTTAGCTGGGACTGAACGCACAGTCAGTCACCGCTGCAAACCGTAAACATGTTATTTCTCCAATAAAGCGTGAGTTTTATCTCAGCTGCAGGAGGAAATGAAGAAAGGGAGTGAATGTTGTCCTTCTGCATCCACATGTGAAACAAGCTGATGTTGTGCGGTAAGGTAAGCAGTAAAAATGGGTCAAATAAACGAGGGTGAATTTAGCCATAAAGTAAACTCCATCCTTATTACCTAGTAAAAGCAAACAAGGAAGGATTATTACATGCAGAAAGATGAGAACATTCAGAGGTGGAATGACCTTAATGACAGTAATTGTCTGTCAGGCCGTATAGTTTTAAGAGCAACTTGACCAAGGATGTTCCTGCAGAGCTGAAGGCTATGACAGCCTGAGAGGTTCTTCCCTGCTTTCTCACAGTCTGGCTTCCCATTCTGTGCCTGCAGAGAAGGAGAAATCCTCCACAGCTTTCTGCTCTTTTTACGGCCTCCGCCCGCAGGGCCAGATTCTCCTCTCCTGGAGATAATGGTATGCTTCGGGCCCCTCTAACAGGTGGTGTCCAACATCGATGTGAACACCCAGCTTCCTCCGTCTGCTCATATGCTCTCACAGGCTTAGCATTGAGTGCAGAGCTGAACTTTGAAATGCTCGCTCTTGCATTGTGACACATGGAGCAGATTTCAGCTTTCATGACCCAGGCCCAGTAAAGCAGCTGACCCTCCTATAATTGGACAAACCGGTGCCATGCAGAGCCTCTTGCGGTCTAGACAGGCACAGAATTTCACCGACAGGAGGAAAAGTGTTATTATCTGGCTGCAGGGAGCTTTGTGGGATGCTGTTGGAGAGGGCCTGAGTACTCTGTAATGTCACAGGAATCTGAAGGCGTCTGCACTCCATTGAAAAGGGAAGTCATCAGCTAAAGCGTTAGCCGCTTCCTCTTGGCACTGAAAGGCTTGTCTTTAGGGACTGAGACAGACTTGTGCCTGTGTCTGTCTGGACAATGTTTAACTGTGGGGCAGGACCCTAATGTCCCCGCTGTCATTCTGAGGAAATTGAGTTTGGCTATTTTTCGTTTATTTTAGAGTTGCATTGGCAAAAGGCCTCATATATATCTTTATAATCAGTGTATAGGTGTGTTACACACTTCATTTTATTATTTGGGAACTTTATGTGATACTCCAACAAAAACAGTGCATTAGTAGGGAGTCTGCATTCGTATTCATCTCATTTTTAGAAGCTTTGTAGTCTATTTTTCTTTGCAAACTAGCTAGAGCTAAGCCAGATTGGATAGAAAGCACCTGACAGCAGTAATCTACAAGTTTTGCAACAGATTTTGGGTCTTGATTCAAGCTCCGTCCGTTATAAGCTCAAGCTTTTCTGAAATGTTTCAGAGTGGGAATGTTTTCAGATGGATTTGAGATGGTAGCTTGCAAACATGCAATAGGTTTGCATGATGCAGGTGATCTAAAAAGATTGGTGAATTTAAATCATGCAAAAAAATTTGGTTTGGCCCCTGCTTGTTTGAGAATGTCTGTACAAAACCATGAAGATCTGACTAAGGTATTTTAGAGGTAGTGATCATTATCATTTAAAACAATGATAATGATAATAATGATTATTATTTAATGACATAACTTACATAAATATGAGGAAGTGCTACAAAGAAAAGCAAAAACAGAAGAATGAAAAGATAAAGTCCATTTTCAGACACGCTTAATCCCAAGTGGGGTCGCGAGGGCTGCTGGTGCCTATCTCCAGCTGTCTAAGGGCGAGCGGCGGCGCACACCCTGGACAGGTCGCTAGTCCATCGCAGGGCAACACAGAGACAAACAACCATTCGCACACAAGCTCACACCTAAGGGGACTTTAGTAAAGCCAATTAACATTCATGTGTTTGGACTGTGGGAGGAAGCCGGAGTACCAGGAGAGAACCCACACATGCTCAGGGAGAACATGCAAACTCCATGCAGAAAGATCCCAGGCCGGGAATCGAACCTGAAACCTTCTTGCTGCAAGGCAGCAGTGATATCAACCGTGCCCAGGGCTGAAACAATTAATTGGATTTATCAATTATTGAAATAATCAAAGAATCGTTAACTGGAGACTCTAAAACATGCCTATAGCTGACAGAGCGACTTACTTAGAGCAGGAATTACACTAAAACAATAAAAAATAATATAAATATTTTGCATTTGAGATCAAAATCTTTTTCGTCTATCAATATGCTCTATCCAGAAGTACTCAAGTGGAAGTGTTCCTGTTTGGCTGTGACTCCATCCTGGAGAGAAACATCAGCTGTGCTGCTTCCATCAACACC